TAAGAAACTATTTGATATTTATGTAAGAATGCAAATGTGGTCATAAACATTAAAATACAATGAACATTAATGAATTGTCACCAAAACTGAGATGTATTTAATAGCCTATGAATGGTTTGATCTCTGCTATAGTTAAAATGGTTTCAAATCCCACATTACACTGACAGCTCCAAGCCGTGTTTCCTTACATCTTTTGTATGTAAGTTAACATTTTGTAAAAGATACATGGAAACTATTTTTAAAAAGGATTTTATTCTGTATTTTAAAAAATACATATTGTAATAGATTTTGATGCTTCAGCAGCGGACTATGTTTCTAATTTTACTGGTTGACCAGATCACAGACTTGCTCTGTGTAGTGATACCAAATTAAAAAAAGGAGTGTTCTACTTCAATCATAAGTGGAAAAAAGATGAGCTAATATGGAAGATCATTGAAAGCAGCAGGCCTGTACTATAGCTGCAAGTTATTAAATCAACATAATTTCATTGCTTTTCACAGAGCGGCTTGATGTATCTTTATTAGAGGTAGAATTCAAGCTTATAATATTAGTGATTAGTATTAATTTTTAATGTGCACGTGAAAATCTGCATTTGAATGAGAAGCCTGTTGCTGGAGGGTTTAGGAGATATGCCAATTGATGGGAAGAGTATTACAAATAGAGACACTGAGACTAGATACTAAACCCAGCATAAACGGGATAGCAAGTGAAAAATAGAATTTGAAATAATGAAACAAATTATACTTGGAGATCCTGAGTGTTTCTTGCATACAAGGTTTTATTTTTTATTTTTTCCAACATAGCAACCTCACTGAAGTGACAGAAAAAGTTTACTGGAGTTGGAATGCTTTGCTTTCTGTCATCATTCCCACAACAGTTAGTTAGTCAACAGTTTTAGGGTTGGAACTTCTTTTAAATAACTGACAAAAGATTATGCACAAGAATTTAATTCAAATCACAGCTCATCAGTTCAGATAATTTGAATTTATGATGTTACAGGGAGTAGAATTAGTCTGTCTCCTCTCCATCTTCCCAAAATATGATGTATGAATGTAAAATTCTGGAGCAGACTAAAGGTCTGTATTCAACAGTGGTCGTAAGTGGATGCTTAAGGATAAGTACAAGAAAATACACAGGATTATTTCCTCTAGTACTTTTCCGTTTTCTATTAAGGAACTTCCTGATCTGAATATACTTAATATGTATTTTCAGTAACCCATAGTAGTTTTCTTTTCCATGTACTTGTCCAGTGTTTTCCCGAACCATTGTAAACCTTTATAATTCACAGTATCCATTGGCAAGAAGTTGCACAGTTTAGCTAATATTTATGAAGAACTTTTTTTCTCATGTTTGTTCTGATTCTGAGCCTGGCTTCTGCTGACCTCTCTTGATATTTTTTAGTTACTTTATTGAATGAGTTGATGAATAGTTCATTCCTGGCCAACCTCTCCATGCCCCTAATGATTCTGTAGACCTCTGTCTGATACCTCTCTCTACTTCCCCATCATCTCTCAAAGAAATTCTGATTCATTACAGCATGTGGAAATTAGTGTGTATCTCACGTTATTTTTTTTTTTTTTTTTTTTTTTTGAGATAGGAAAGACTAGAATTGCATACAGTACTCAAGGTATCGGTGAACCATGGACATATACATGATCTTCATGTTGTCATCTGCTTTGTGTGAATTCCTAACATTTGATAATTTTTTTTGGCTGCAGCATTGAGTTGCCATCTTTTGTAACTGTATATCATGATACCAAGATCTTATTCTTGATTGCTAATAGTTTCTCATATATTTAATGAGAAGTTAGAATTATTTTTCTGATGTACATAATCTTATGTTTACCTACACAAAACCTTACCTACCATTTTATTGCCCGTTTTTTCAGTACCATAGTCAGCTAGCAGTTCCTCAGCGTTGTCCCTCATCTTTCTTTATTTCTGTTTTTTAAAAAGCAAGTCACATATTATTGTCAGCCAACTTCTGTTACCTTAGTTCTCACCCTGTTTTTCTTAAACTGCACAGATCATATCCTGCTCCTTGCAGAACTCTACTTGTAGCCTCTTTCCACTTTGTGAAAAGGTTGTTTAGTCCTCTGTTTCCTGCCTTTTGGCCAGGTATTTTTTTGTGTATCAGACTTGTCCTCTTATGCCATGTCTGTTTAGTTTCTTTAAAAAGATTTTCAGATACCTTTTAGGAATTCAAATAGACTTTATTTGGAACATTCTTACCCACATGACTGTCTCTTTTAAGAACTCCCAAGATTTGGATCTTCTCAACTATATCACTTTTATTCAAGCATCCAGTAATTCTGTTTATCATTACATTTTTTGCTAATTTGTTGGGTATAAATATTGAATTTCCAAGCCTGAAGCTTATTGGATGTCTATGAAACCCTTTTTAAAAATTGGCAATATATTTACCACACTCCAATCCTTATGTGCCAGTGCAGGTATAAATGAGAGGTTACGTCTTTAATTTTTAAGTTTCTTTTAGACCTAGCTAAATATCTTGTGACTCTGACAGTACTTTTAATTAAGTTTTACTTATTCCCTATTCCTTTCTTCAGTCACTTCAATTTAAGGCAATTTTTCTGATGTGTTTTGAAAAGAAGTCTTTCTGGATATTTTACATTTTCTTTCACTGTCAACACAGATGTAAAAAATCATTAAGCTAATCTCCTGCAGTCTTACCTTCTTTGAATACGCCTCTTATACCCTGAGCATTTACTGGTCTTACATATCCTCTGGCAAGCTTTCTATTCCCATTGTCTGGAGAAAGATTTATTATTAGTTATAATGTATTTTATTTTTCTTCTTATTTTGCTTTGTTCCTATTGTGCTTTTGCACTTGCTGTAATTTACCATTTCTTTTATTATTTGCTTTTTTCTACATTGAAATTCTCTTAACCTCCTGTTGATTCATGTTGGCTTGCTTTTTTTTTTTTGCCTTTTTCAGGTCTTTCTTAGTTCATACTTAATTGATATTTTACACTTTGCTTCCCACTTGGTCTACGACAGAGAGACTACTTGGTTTACAAGATCAAAATAAAGTAGAAACGGGAGATACGATCAGGCAGTATCTCTAAAAAATGTGACTATGAATTATGTCACATGCTGAGTAATGATCTTTTGAAGAAGGATTGTGTTTAGATAGCCAAGGAGTCCATTCCAAATTTGAAAGAAAAGCCATTAATGATCCAGATGGAAGATCATGAGTCAGGCTTTCTATATGTGAATAATTTGTGCAAAAGTATTTTTTTTTAATGGAACCTGAATTAAAAATATAAATATTGAAGTTCATTGGCCTAAAAAGTATAGCTCTCTGTGCTGTAGTGTATATTTGCAGATGTTCTAGGAAAGATGCAAATACTGAAGTTACAAGGTCTGGTGATACAGGGATATTAAAATTAGTGATGATGAAGACAAACAGGGAAGAGCTGGAGAAAGACCGTGCAACTCTGAGGTAGTGATAAATGAAAATTATCATAAAGCAATTAATGTAGGGAAAAATAATTTAAAATTTTACACAGTGATGAGCTTACTTCTCTGGAATGGGGTCTTGCAGGTTCTCTGGAAGTAGCAGATCAGTGCCTAATAACAATGCTGGTCTCCACATCTCAGAGGGGATGTAGAGAACCGGAAAAATCACACAGCTGGTGATCAGAATCAGTGAAAGACTAGATAGGTGAAAGGGTAAATGAGGGGGCATATGGTAGCACTGTATTCCCTGTGTAGGACTGAGAGGTAAACAGAGAGCAATTGTAAATTCTACTTTCCAGTACAAGGGTTAGTGAACCTCAAATGTATTTAGCAGAAGACAAATCGGAAACAAAGATGTGCTTCTTCCCACAGTATGGAATTAAGTTACAATCTATTTGCAGTACAATGATAACGGACGCTAAAAGCTTTCATGGGTTCAGAAAAGATCTGGTGAACTCAGGAGATGAAAAATCTTAAATATAATCTTTGGCTGAGAAAGTGGTTTGTGTCCCAGCTTGCTTTATCCTCAAAAAGTATTCTGGGAAAGTGTGATGATATGCTTTCTGTGTCCTTGTATTCTTCCTTAGACGTCTGCTGCTGGCAATAGTCAGAGACAGGAGATTGGGCTAGGTGGATCTTTGATGTAATGCAGCCTGTTTGCTCTTGTGATAAGCTGTCCATGCTAACTACTTTTCCACTGTCTAACCTAATTTTTTTTCTGCTGCAAATTAAGTTGATATTTTTGGATTTTTCCCAACTTTAAATGCCTTTGCCAAAGTTTCATTTCAAGTTTTTTAATACCTATCTCCCATTTCAGACTTTGAAGGACCTCCAATTAGGAGCTTAACTTTCAGTCACTGTTGCTTGAAGCTGCCTTCAACTACAGCTACAAAGCAAGTGCATGCTCTGGCCAAGTCATGTTGTTGACTCTAACCCTGTACCACGAAAGTTCCCAGCATGAATGTTTTTTGCGGGCAGATAGGTCAGGATTGTGCTTCTAGATTCAGCGTTGCCTGAGCCAGTGTGATCATTGTGGATTATCCCGTGAACCAGAGACTCCATGGTACTGTAGAGAGCCCCTCTGAAGCCAGCTCAAGCTGAAGATAAAATAATAGCTTATGCTGTTCTGCTGGCAATAGATGGTTGTATGTTTATCTGCCTTAGTGCCACCCACCTTTAGCACCAAGCCGTTTCCCACCTCTCATGTCATTTGGCAGTTCATAAGGACCCGCTTAACATGACTGTCTCCTACCCACTGGTGCTGGGGATGTTGACATCAGGGCTGAGCTGTTTTTGACATGTGGGTCAGCACAGGGTCTCTGTGGTTTTCATCTTCTCTTTGTGCCTGACTTATCTAGTGCTGTGACCCACTGCTGGGAACTACAATCCTTGAATATACTGAGGTGTCTCCTGCAGAAGCTGTAGTGTGATGGTGCGTCTTTCCTCCTTAACTCTTTCAGGGATTGCTGCACTGTGTGACAGGATGGCTGTGTATTCCCCTCATCAAGGAGGCCAAAGCCTGTCAGAATTTAGTAGACTGCACTGCGTGGGCTCACTCAAATTCCATCTTCCTGTGGCCTAGGCTCTTTTGGAGTCATCTTGCTTGCTATAGCAGTTACTGACCTCATTTCACACATTGGCAAAAGGAAGAGCTACTGTTTTCAGGTATTTAAGGAGATGGAATACCTATGTGTGCACAACCAGTGCCCTCCCTTTATCACAATACTACTGCAGAGTTAGAGTTATGTGCCCTTAAGATAAGGATGCTGAGAAATGAGACATTAGAGATTAAAAAAACCCTAACCTTATTCCTCAGTTTTTCTCTTGTTCTGCTTAGCAAACTGTCAGGCCTTATGGTTTGTGATGGTTTTGTGATGTGCTTTATCAACTGACGTATCAAGGGAATTCTCAGCTTTTGTTAGTAAGGTCCAGATTGCTTCATACATGGTGCTGCAGCCTGGGCACAATACACTGAGTATAGTCTTGTGGTCTGCCAGCTGGGCTGCTTGTCTGCTGCTGGCAGCCCTGTTGATCATTTTGAACACTGTGAGCACAGACAGTATTTTGGTGTTCGCATGTTGTCTATCTGATCCTCTCACCAAAGTTCCTCTGCCCATTTATTTTTTTGTATTTTACAAAAAGTTAAGTGTTATTCCCATTTATATTTACACTTTACCCTGGACTTTACTTGATTGGATTAAACATTCAGAAGTTAATAGCAGTAAGTTGTATATACACCCTTACATCATTCCTGCACAGTCCTTAGCAGCAGCTTTTTTCTATAAATCGCTATATATCTACTGCCAAAAGTTTCATATGCTTTGGAAGAAATTCTTCAGAGCAGTGTATTGTTTGCCTTTCGTAGTTGTGTGTTGTATGCCTGAGTTGGGTGTTGTATGTTCTTCCTGACTGAGAAAACTGATTTATGAAATAATAAGAGTAGATAGTACTAGTGGAAAGGGCAATAGTTTGGAGTGTCTTAAAGGATCAATTTATGTTACTCCTTGGTATATAAAGCTAGTGACATTGATGGTAATCTATTCATATTCTAAGTGTATCCTAAGGAGGTAACTGACTATTTTAACATTCCAAAAAGCTGGAAACAAAGGTTTTTATTTTGCTCGTAAATCCAGGCTATAATTAGTTCGATATCATATTACTATGTTGCTGTTTAAAATATCTTAATTGTTTGACTTCAAACGGTCTTTGTATCAGTGTTCAAAATCACACTTTACTGTCACTTAAATCTTCTGCAATGAGAATTTTAGAAGTATCTTCGAAAGTAATAATTTGTTGTATAATTTAGGTAATTGCAGAACTGACTTTCCATTTGGGTGTTTAAAAATATTTTTCACTTCATGTGACTGATCAGAGAAATAGTTTCTTGGAAGAAGACTTTTATGACAGGTGAAACAAATAATAGCAAACCCCCCTGCTTCTAGTTACATTTAGATTTATTTTAAAAATTTGTTTATTTATTTATTTAATACAAATGCCGCTTTTAAGGTTTTCAAATTAATTCTGGAGTAATTCATAAGGTTTTACAAGCCTCTTTTTGATCTGGAACTTACTCTGAGTTGTAAAAAAAAAAAAAAGGTGAATAATACAGTGTTACTTGGAATGTAGTTAACCTCTCCAAAGGGTTAGGTTTCCACATTAGTATTAAAGGCTCTGTACCTGATGTTGCAGTTCAACTGGTTTGAGTTGGAAGCACCACAGTAGTCCAGCCTTTCCCTGTCCCGCACAGCTAACTTCCATTCTTTCTCTTGTTCTGACAGAAGTCTTTGTGTAATTGTTTGACAGATCAAATTAGGAAATTAACTCAGTCGAAAAATATCATGGCAAAAGTATCATGGATTAAATAGGTTTGTTTTATGACTCATTCTAATTCCCCCTGACCAAAAATTTCTGATTTTCTATAGGTAATAGATTACATGCTGTGGTTCTCATAGGAGCCGCAACCCTGTGGTGTCTCCCTCTCACGCACGTACCCGGGTGCTTCCCTTTAAGGCAAGGTATTGAGTACCTTTTATCTCAGTTGGTCTAATCAAGAAATGTAATGAAGCTTACTTCAGTGCAATTGCTTTCAAGCTCAATTTAGTTTTAAAGTTGCTCATTGTGTTTTGGATTTAAAGAGGGGTTTGTGTGCCTAAAACTTGTAGGGTTTTAGTAAAAGATAATATACTTCTTCCATAAACGTTGCCTTATTTTTTGTAACATTTTGGTGCTGAATTCTGTTGCAAACTGGAATTAGTGTGGTAACTTGAAATATGTTTTTTAAAAATAAGACTGTTATCTTAAAACTAAATGTTATATTTTTAACTCTCTCTTCAAAGTGAGAAAATAGTGCCACTTTTGTAATAACAACAGAGCTGTAAGTGCAGAAGTTGCCAGAAGGAAATCTAGACTCTTTGGCAATAGCACACAAGACAGTTTGGAGCTTTTCACACCTGGAATCTATCTGCAAGTGGTGATGAGTATTTTGGCACCCAAGAGCTTGAGATAGGAAAACCTAAAATGGTATTGGTTATGTGTTGAATTTTTTAAAAGATTTTATTCACAACCAGTACAGTTGGAAATGTAGGTCAAGGTCTTAAATTTAGTTTTCTCATGGACATGCTGAATGACGATTTTCAGGACCTCAGCTTCTAATGAATGTATTTAGTAATATTCAGCTTTCTAGTTTGGGTGTTCAAATAGACACATGTAAAACATTTCTGGCCGTAGAATTTTTTAATTTTTGAATTTTGAATTGTTTTGAATCTTAGAATTCTTAGCCTGTGTAAGAAATTGGACTTTACCATAAATGTGGCAGAATTAAGACCTTTAGACATTTCCTGCCCTGTTTTTCTCTTTATGCTGAGTTGTTAATCTTTTCTTTATTCCTTTAAATTTTTCTTCTGCTTAAAAGTAGAAAATACAGAAGTGGAAAGCAGCTTTGGTAGATTCCAGTTCATTTACTAGTTTCTTAATGAACTGAAAGCAGGCAGATGGAGTGCCTAGTAAGCATAGAGAGTTCCTAATAGCAAAAGGTTGGTATTATTCCACAGGGGAAGCAACAAGACATATTTTCCCATTCTGTGGAATAGAAGTAATCTTCTGTCCTTACTTGCTTTGTCCTGAAACTTATGGTACCATCATTTAGCCAAAATTGTCTGTGCTACTTTCTTAGCCTTAGATCTGGATTTAAACATCAACAGAGGCTGGTAAACAAAGATTGGCTTCAGTTTAGGGCCACCTCTAAAGAAATTATATACATGCACACAAATTACATAAAACAATTTTCTTTGCTGAGTTATAATTGGCTTTTACAAAATTGGCTTGTGTTTTTCTGGAAGTTTTGCGCTGTTTTCTAATAGCATATAATCTTTTAGTATACTGGGTTGGGGTAAATTAAATAAATTTTGTGGGGATGATATGTAGTTAAAAGCAGTTAGGTGGATAGAAGAGTTTTAAATAATGGATGCTGTTTGTAAAATAATAAATTCTGAATATAAGCACTATCCTTTCTTTACCTGTTCTTATACTGTGATCAGTTCCCAGGCAAAGGCTTGTGTTATGAAACAAGATCTGTACTCATTGTGTTGTCCTAGTTATTCCATGACCTGTCACCTGGAAATAAATTTGACAGAGCTAATTGCTTTTAATGGTGATAATTCTGTTTACATATTTCCTCTGATCTGATAAACTGGTCTGATAAAGAAACTGATGAGTTAATATATCTCATAAAATTCTATATTCATTCCAGTTAACTGTTAATGTCGTTAGAGAACACATCAGAACAATGAAACCCAGTCTAGATTGGGTTGTGAATAAAGGCTTTAAAGAAATCTTATTCTTGCAGCAGTGCCTGAGTGTAAGCATGGAGATGTATAAGCATCTAGTAGAGTTGTGATTTAGCAAAAGTATAAAATGATTTTGGGCTTAAATTAGGGAAATAAGACTATCACAAAGAAACAAAAAACCGTATCTTTTCTCTATATTAGGTGTTGGTATGATTGAGTGTAATTCAGTGTTGGTGTCTAACTCAATGTTGCTGCCCATACCAGAATAATAATGTGGAGCAAGGAGAGGGTATTCAAAGGAGGAGGACATAAAAGACCTATGGAAGGAAGGCTTAAAGCTTATTTTATTAATTTAGAGGAGATTAAAAAGTGTGTTTAGATACTTAAATGATGTGCAGTTACTGGGAATGGAATTTTGTTTCCAAAACCTATGCTAAGAAACTAAAATTAGATATATTAAACCTTGAAAGAAAGCAAGTCATGCTTACTGTAATGGAAGGGGCGTACTGGAACATGTTACCAGTGAAGATAGGGACTGTTCTTCATTTGGACTCTTACACTTTAGCATGTGCTAATTCACTGAAGGGGGTGAAGTTACGTGGCCTGATCAGGTAAAAGTGTGGGCTAATTTCAAGTTTTCTGGTCTTGACATTTGTGACTGAATCCTCCTGCTACTTTATTTGGGGTCTTGAAGAAAACTAGATTCTTTGAATTAACCTTAAAATTTTTGTAAAACTTGCATTTTTCAATCAAAATAGTGCTTGCAGTTGATTATTAAGCTTCAGGAAATGTTTAGCACCTTTCCTTCAGGAATTTTTGCCTCCTGTACACAGCAGTGTAATGGGTCCTGGGGTTTTGGTGCTTTGAATACTGGTGACTCATGATATAGAATAGATTTTATTGCTTTGTAATGATATAAGATGACAAGAGATTTAATAAGGAATTAGTGTATAGGAATAGGATTGAGGAATTGTGTATAAATGAAGATTTTGTTACCCTGCCATGCAGATTTTATCTACAGTAATATGGTACTTCCATGATAATTCTTAAAGTATGGGGTGGTATTCTGTGAATTTATGTATTGTACCATTGTGTGGATACATATATTCTGTGAATATATGTATTGTACCATTGCGTTCTGGGCCAGTTACTGATGCCTTTTTAGTATGCTCAAGAATCCATGAATGAATAGCTCTCAAAAATGTTTGTCAGAGCTGTGACTATAAATTGCGATTTGAAATGTATTTTTAAAAAGTATCAAATTGGGTATCAGATCAAGGCTGATAGTATTAACAAAAAATTCTAAATCCACTGTTGTCATATCTGTGCTTTAATAAAGCATTTACTTTTCCTACAGGTGATTCATTTTGCTCATGTTTGAAAGCTTTAGCAAAAATCATACTTGCCAATTTTAGATTTTGCTTCGGTGAGATGGATGTTCTCTCCATTACCTTTTTTAAGCGGGTGTCATAAAAAAACCCACCCTTGAAGTCCCAATATAGGAGGAAACATACTACTTAGTGAAGACCACCACCTACTTTGGTGTGACCGGGGGGTGATGGAAGTGGAAGCAAATATTTGAGCAAATGGAAAAATCACTGTACATGCTGCAAGGATGTAATTTTGGAAACAGACCTTTTTCCCTTCATTAGTGCTGTTTCATTTTCTCTTTGACTTAGTTCTTGACTGTGTTATGATAATTCCGTTAGAAAGGCCAATAATTATGGTCAGTGGTTAGTAATGTTAGGGGTGTTTGCATAAATGGCTGTAGTTTTCTTTAGAATTTTGACCTTATCTGCAGGGGAGAATTTACCAGCACCGGTAGAATTTAAATTGGTTTAGTTCAACTTGATTAAATTGCAGGGTGGATGCTGTTACTCAGAATACGCAATCTTAATTTGTTTTCCCTTCATTAGTTTGAATTAAACCAATTCAGGCTGCATATTCTGAATGAACACTTTTACAGGGATATAATCCGCTGTAATTTGGTTTAAATTTAGCTCTTCAGTTAATCCAGATTATTTTTTTTCCAGAGGGGTCTGTTTTGTTTAGAGTTGGCTTAAATGTCAAAATTTACAATTGAAGCAAGAAAAGCATAAAGGAAATATGAAAAATAAATATGAAAGAATATGAAAAATAAATATGAAAGAATATGAAAAAAAACCCCTCAGTTACTGTCATGTCAAATAAATGTCTATTTTAAAAGCCAGGTTGTTTAAGCAGCAGATTGTTTTTTAAAAAGCATAATTTAGCCTCAGTAGTAATATTGGCTTTTATTCACATGGAAGGGTGTACTGTTAAATCAGAATGGTTGTACCAATTTTGCATACCATTTATGTGTTGATTCAGGGAGAATTTTTCACCTTTAGTTTATGTGATTTTGGAAGTGATAGAAATACACCCAAAGCAAATACACTTTTGAAGAGTTATCATTGGATAAGAGAGTTTATACAAAGAGTTACACTTATATCAGCATAACAAATAAGCACAATTGTAGAGAAACTTAAAACAATTGAAGTAAGAATTTAATTGGTTGTAGTAGTCGCTGATGGGAGTCATTATGGATGGATTAATCTCCAAAAGACAATTTTTTATATTGCGGTATAAAATTCAATTTAGAGATGATTGCCTAAAGCCAGAAAATTAAAAAAATAAACTGACAAAATTAGCCAAGGTTTTTTTTTTCCTTTAGCTATTTGTACAATGACATAAACTAACAAAATTGTCCTTTACATATTTAAGCATAAGTAATCCTGGCTGTGTGAAACACATTGCACTGCATACAGACTGTTCCACATTTTACAATAAAATAAATAGTAATTCTGATTTAATTACGTGGTTTTGTAATTTTTTGGTAAATATTACCGTCAGCTTATTATATATTACTATTAATCACTTAACCAATTATTTAGTAAATAATTAATTAATTAGATTTTAAAAGTTGCTATTAAAATTATATTTAAATGTAATTATCAGTTACAGCAATTTGAAACTGCCTCCAAAATATACACAACTTTTTCTGTCGTTCTTGTTACTGATAAACATTGAGATCCTATGTTCTGTTCTGTTTCTGCAGTCACTGGTTAAATGGAAGCCACTCCTGGGATCTGGATGGTTTCTACTGACATAGACTTCGCATAGCAGCTCCATTGCGTCAGGAGGTTGCAATGAGTGGAGGAGGGGAGCAGCCTGACATCCTCAGTGTGGGAATCTTGGTCAAAGAAAGATGGAAGGTGGTGAGTATGCCTTCCTGCTATTCTTTTCCTTCTTTAAAACATGTTTCTAAAAAGAAGTAGTTTGTGCTTTGAAATCTGCTTCAAAATTCATGTGAGATGTATTTTGCTTAAATACGTATGTTAAATGGCGAAACAACTTTAAAACCACTTCTTTCGCTTATCCTACTTTAAAAAGAAGTTATACTGATTTAGGGTGTTGTTTTGTTCTTTTGTTTTTTGTTTTTTTTTTTTCTGCTAAGGACCTAGGAAGGCTTTTAAATCCTGACTTAATGTCTGTTCAGAGCACAACTGGAAGAGTCCTGTTAGTATATTGAATCCAATCATCCAGTGTTTATGCCAGTCCGTTTTGGAAATCAGTCAGGCACCCTTTTGAAACTAGTCAGATTGTGAGATTTGCTACTTCTTATAGGACGTTGCTGCTCTTCCAGTTAGAAATGATTTTTGTTTGTTATATTTTGTAGAATAGATTTATTCCTGGCTGATTATATCCATTTGATTGTGTGCCAGTATTGGCTTTACCATAAATAACTCTGTTCCCATTTGGTGTTCATATCCTTGATTTACATCTAGAGGGAAATAGTGCCCATTTGAAACTATTTTTGCTGGGAAAAACAGGCTGAGTTCTCTTAATTCCTTCTCTATTTCCCTGAGCACTTTAGAATTTTTTTGCTTGTGGATTTTTTTGAGATGGAAAAAAAAAATAGGCAAAAAGGCACCACTTCCTAATAACAACCTTTTGGGTCTCTCTGTGTGTTTAGTAGGCTGTGAATGGATACTGATTCACTATTTTTGTACTGTCTTTCCTTTACATTGCGCCCATATTTCAATATTTTATTTAAAACTCTGAAACTGAACGTAGAAGATACAGATTCATCTTTCATTTCATATTCATATAGAGAAAATAATTTCAACTATCTTGTGCCCACTCCATTTAAAAATGCAGGAAGCTGATAGTAGTTTTGTGTAGGAAACCTTTATATTTCCTTTTGTGTAAATAGAACCTAAATGGCTATCTTTGGAGTGTGTTTGTAAAATAATTTCTTCTATTGCATCTCAGTGTTGCAGTGCAGTAAAAACTGAAGTCTTAGTCTTGAATCAGATGAAATAGAATAAAATAGCATTATAAATAGATAACAGTATACTAATATATTACTATCCACAAAGCCACCCAGTTGTCCGATATGTGCAACGGTAGTCCTGTTTTCTTCAGGTTTATTTTCTGTCCTGTGTAATGAAGAATGAAGAACAGCTTGGTGTCTTGTGGAAAATCTTAAGAGTAGGTGGCTGTTCATCTCATGTGATTATACATTTTAACTTGTATGTTTCCAAATCAAGTATTACAGGTAGATAAGTGCCAAATACTGTCTGTGGGTAACTCTTCAATTTCTTAATTTCTGTAGCAAACATGAAGGATTTCTTTATGTCATCTAAGATGGTACACTTCTTCCTGAGTTCAGGATTTCATAGGACGGTCTGCCAGTGGAAGAAAATAGCATGCAAATCTTAAATTTCCTTAGTGCTTGACACATCTATATTAACATAATTAATACTGTTCTGTTGGGTTATGAAGTATTGAAGTTTTTTTGCTAGTGTTCTTGAAGCAGTATTTAAAAATTCCTTGTGTGGAAAGATGAAGTGATATAATTCAGTGGACTTGCAAGTTTTGATGATAATGAATAGTGTCCCTAATTATCAGTAGTACTTCTGATTGTTCCTTGTGGAACAGTCCCAATATCCTGGGTTTGTTTTCCTGTTGAAGAATGGCAGCTCTGTAGTATAATTGCATGAGATTATTTTGTTGTAACCATCTTAAGAAAAAAAACAAACTACACATTCTGGAAGTTGTGTAAAGATTTGCAGCTGAAATGCAATTTTCAGAATTTTTGTTGTTCTGGACCTTGGTCTTCGTAATTGTGAAAACATACCTGGAATATGTTGAGACAAACATTTTTAAAAACTATTCTTGATTAAATTTAATTTTAACCTCAGCATTCTTTAGGGTGATACTATTTTGAAAAGTAAGCATAGAAAAGTCATTATAAAATTCTTTTCCTCAGTGACACCCTCTCTTTCTACTGGTGTCTCTATCAATTAGCATTTGCTTTTGTCCTTTGTCAATGCCTTTTCTCATTCCTCTGCTTTTGCCTTTGAGACATTTATTACAATCTTGATTTGGAGAGACTTGATTGTAATGATAATTGGTTTTAGATAAGTTTAAGGACATTATTCAATATGCAGTATAAGCAAACGTACCAAGATAAAACATGTTGGAAATGGTATGCTTTATACTTGAAGCATACAGAGAGATAGGAGTGGAAGAGAGAATGGAAAAACTGAGTTTGGAGTGTGAGATACTGGATGCAAAGAAGAGAAGCTTGAAACTAATGTACAAAATGGGAGAATGTGGTACAGGTCTAAATGAGGGCAACGTGATCCTTGTCAAGGTAAAAGATGTTGAGCAGATGTGCCAGTAGGCCAGTATGGTTGAACAGTCAACTCCTGTATGAACTCAAAAGCAAACAGAAGGTTGAAATGGAGATGGGTTGCCTAAGATTACTATGGAGTGTGTTGGAATAATGTGTAGGAAAGCCAGAACACAGCTGGCAGTTGAAACTGGTGAGGGATGCGAAAAGCTATGAGGGAGGCTTCTACAGGCACACTGGCAGCAAAAAGAAGACCAAGGAAAATGTGGACTCATTGCTGAATGTGGTGTGTGACCCAGTGATAGAGGGTGTGGAAAATACTCTTCTTTTTTTTTTTTTTAGAATTTGTGCCTGGAATTATTGACTGATGTCATTATTGGATGTATGTTAATGATTTGGGTGTACTTTATCTGAGGGTAGAAATAGAAATTGATCTGTTTATTAGTGTGGTGGTGCATTTGGTTTTGTTTTTGTTTTTTATCTGTTTTTAAATTTCTGATTTTAGTATACAAGCAGAAAAAAACTTACCTTTTAGATGCAGTCTTTCTCAGTCTGGTCGTTTCTCAAAGCTGGTACATAAAGTTATATGGTAAACTGCTATGAGTTTGTATAGGGGTGTAGGGGTGAGGATGACTGTGTTGCCTTTCCTTTTCTCCTCTCACCTTTTTCACCATGCATTCTCACTGTCTCCCTTTGTGCTTTCACTATACTGAAAATGTATGTGCTTATGCAGTCAGATCAATGTCTGTGTTTAGCTGTTGGAGCCCCATTTATAGCTCAGAGCTCAGGCAAGATAATGGCATTACCAAACCAAGAGGTGGAACAGAAAAGTGCAGACTTAAAATGGCCAGATTAGTCACGAGACTACATCTTTGAGAGATATATGTAGATACCTACATTTTTTTTTTTTAAATATGAAAAAAAACCCCAACCCATATATATATATATATATATATAAATAAAATCTTGTTAAAACTTGCTATTTTTCCCAGTATTTAGATGGCAGATCTCTTTTCTTTCTGTAAGGACTAACACTGTGCATATACTGAATACATGTGAATGTAACCAAGTTACGGTGATTATTTCGTTGGAGTTGAAAGGTTTCTATTTCTCATGGTTTGTCATTATTTCAGAGTTAACCCTGTATTCTTACCTGAGTAGTACTTTAAACAAGTCATGTCTGAACACACAGACTTTTTATTAAGGATTTGTGAAACTATGTAGTTGAATTTAAGTTCTTGAAATGTGTAGGTTAAAGAGTAATAGGCTTAAGCCTGTGATGTTGGTAGTATGCATGTTACGCTGATTCAGAGAGAGTATACAGCTTGTGGAGGAGATTGCATTTGCTAACAGTGTACTTATAGAAAGAAATGAACATGTGAATTTGCAGTCAACAGATGTTGCACTAGAAGCAGATGTTTAGGTGGATTAGTTCTGTAGGTCTAAAAATGTGGTGTGCTGTCTTATCCTGTGTGCCTTTTCAAAATTGGCAATGAATTGTCCAGGTGAGTAATGTAGATAATGCTAGATATCTTGGACCATATTTTCCTCATCTTAAATATATTAAGAAATAGCAGTTGCTTTTGGTGGTAAAAGATCTTCAGGACAGAAAGTGCATGATGAAATAATGTTGTAATCATATGGAATAAAAATTTCATACAATATGACTTGAAATATGCAAGCAAACAATATGATTATTTTATCTGTTACCTTCTTCCTTATTCTTAGGGGCCTAGGCTAATTTAAAAGTTGTTTTTCCTTCTTAGTCAGATGGCTGATTGTCTGGATTAGGAGACATTAGATTTATTTTCAGAATCTGAAGGTAGGTCAGCATATTGCTGATTGCTAAATCCCCAGAATGTTCAGATGACATTTAATACAGTGTATTTGTATTACCTTAGCAACTGTATGTTTTCAGATGACATTTAAAGAAACACATTAGTTCTTCCAAGGTAAAATATAGTAGAAATACAGTATTGTGTGTTTCTGAGGGTAAGTAATTTTTGTCTCCTTTTCTATCAGCTTTAGAGTGGTTGCTACAGGGGATATCACCATATGAAAACATTATGTGAAATAACATTGACATTTTTGATACTGAAAACCAGACAAATCTCTGTTCCCTGTGAACATTTAAAGCAGAGTGAAAACACAGCTATTAGTATTTGCTCTGAATGCACTGCAAACTAATTAATAGGCTGGAAGAATTCTTTATACCTCTTCCTAACGCAGATGAAACTTTCAGTGGTCCAAGTTTCTTTAGTATATCTGTTAATAAGCATGGTATTGGTGAACCATAAGTAAATGTGAGTGATATTTAAACTATATGTTCAAATATAATCTTAGCCATTTCTTATCATTTATGATTTAGCTGTTGTGTGTAAGCCACTGCATGTAATAGAAGTTTTATACCTTTAGTATTCAGTGTGCGTATTTCTGAAAAAAAAAAAAAAAAAAAAAAAAAAAAAAAAAAAAAAAAAAAAAAGGCATATTTTAAAAATGTCACTGTGTATTTGTACTTGAAGCTCTCTGGGTAGTGTGTTACTATTTGAGGAAAGACTTTATTCAGCGTGCTGACTTTGGTCAGATTCATGCTGGGAATGCTAGCGCATTTTTCTGTTGTATTAAATACAAGAAATTTGGTGGAGATGGAGATCAGGTGTATTAACTTACTTTCCTAGGATTCTCTTGTAGACTGTGGTTAACTGTATCTTTGTAGATTATTCAGCAGTTCTTTTACATACTGAAGGATACAATTATTTTATTATAAAATCTATTGTAATACACAGCATTTGCAGCATGGCAGGCAGTACAAAGAAGTATTGATGTTTTGTTTCCTCTCTTTTCTTCTCCCCTCTTTTATATCTGTTTTTGTTTTTTCCCAATATAGTTGAGGAAAATAGGAGGTGGAGGATTTGGAGAAATTTACGATGCACTGGACTTGCTTACTCGGGAAAATGTTGCACTGAAGGTCGAATCAGCTCAGCAGCCGAAGCAAGTGCTGAAAATGGAAGTAGCTGTGTTGAAGAAATTGCAAGGTAAGGCTGTGCTCTGGATACGCCAGAAGTAAAATGTCAGTGCATCTTCTTAAAAAATCATTATAATCTCTATTTAGTCATAGTTTGAGCGAATATTCCCCATATTCTGCAGGTTATTGCTAAACGGCTGTTAAAAGTGGAATAGAAGCTCTTTCAGCTTCTGAAAGTTTCACTGCAATGAACCTTTTCTTTGAAACAGGATGCCATGAAAATAAATAGAACAGCAAAAAGATTGAATTGCTTCAATACCTATGCTCAGGTGTAGTTTATTCTGGATCCATATCTTCTCCTTACATTTTTTTTTGCTCTAGACTTTGTTGGTTTTAGCCTTTTATTTCTCCTTCTAAGATGGTCTTTTTTTTTTTCTGTACTGTCTAAGCACTGAATAGTTGCATGTCCTTCACATGGCATCCAGGATAAGAATATTTGTATTTCTTTGCCTTTGCAAGTATTGCCAAGAATAATTCTAATGTTGAAATGGGAAACATATTTCAAAAAGCCCCACACAAACAAACAAACAACCAACTTTAAAATACTGTAACTTGTAGAAGAATATTAGTGGCACCTGAAGTCCTGAAATACTTCCAGAATACAGGTTCTTAACAATTCAGAATCCAGTTTTGGATAGTCACTTTTGATGTACCTTTAAATACTTTAATGTCTGAAACTACCAGTATAGAGAAATATGCAAGGGTGTATCTTCATTGCTTTTCAGAATTCAAGATTATAAAAAGAAAGTTTAAAGGATGACTTTTTTCTTTAAAAAACACTATTTTGAATCTGAAAGATTTTGACTACATCCATCCCTGTCAGCAGCCTGATTTTTCCAAACTCTTAATTTGAATAAAATAAAATCTGTGTGACATATGGTGCTGCCTAATCTGCTGTAAAGGTCACATTGCAGCAGAAATTGACAGCCTCTATAGATTTAAGAGGGCGAGCATGTCACGTGTTACAGAGTTAACAAATTGCTCCTATGTTGATATGTTTTTAAAGAATGCCACAAAAACATCTAGTATTATGCAGTCGAGCAAAGACATTCAGGGACGGCATATTATCTTGCTTTGAATTTTAGAGCTTCTAGTCCAGAGATGAATAGTAAATTTCTGTATTACTAATTGTAAATTTAGAAACCATCTGTCACAGTTTTTGAAAGAAATTATTTTAAAGATAGTGAGTTTTGAAGAAACAAATACTCTGTAACTCCTGGGTTTTTAAATGCTCAAAATAATTTTTTCGGTTTTTGTTTTTCTCCACTCCTATTTTTAACAAAATTCAGTCTTTAAAATGGTATAGGTGAAGCAGCTAAAGTAATAAGGAAATAGTAATAACTGAAATTAAAATATTGGAATTTGGTAGCACTAAAATGCCAGTTGTAAAAATCTAATCCTGTATATGACTGCATAAATGGAGTGCCTCATGACTTTCTACTGTTAAGTATAGTGAAGTTTGAGTTAAGATGTTACAAAAGGCTTTTTTGTTAGTAAAAACTTTTTTACCTTTTAAAATATTTTTGAAAACCAAAAAGGTTTGCTGAAATAATCAAAAATTTATTTTTGAATAATTGTCACAGGGCCTTACAGAAGTTATAATTTTCTTCTCAGTCTTCCTTTTGGAGTATAATTCCTTTAAAAACCCAAGTCTCCCTGCAAAAGTCTCTGGTTCTACTGAATCATGGGAAATGCTGTCTAGATAAAAAGAACAGAATAATGAAACACCTAAACAACAGGTCCACAGACGCAAATAATCCTAATAATATATGAACCAAATAAAGATCTTTCAGTTATTTATTTTCTCAATATTATTTCTTCATGAAAATAAATAGAAGTTTTTACATAACTGATTTTTGGAAGGAGCTCTTTTGACAATCTAAATATTATTTCCTAATTTTTATTTCTTATTATTCTCTTGAACAGTTAAAAAAAAACAAAAAACAAAAAACAAAAAAAAAAAAAGGAAAGTCTGTGATTCCATGATAGTAACACTAGAGGTAACCTTTAGTCATTGCTGTGCAAGTTCCACATTACAGTGTAAATGCTCTGGTTTTAGATAGGGAATGTTGCAGATGGTTAAGGTTAAGAAAGTGACTACAGTCAAGTATAGATATCTGCATATATTGAGATTTATATTTTGCACAGATATGTAACTTTATTTTTACATGCATATATTTTTATGATACTAAAGGACTTTTATTATATAAGATTGCGGTAGAGAGTATTTTCTGTTTTACATAAAATCTTGGCTCCTAGGAGCCGTTTCCATTAATTCTTCTACCTTCCCTTTTCAGTATACAAGAGTTAAAAATTTGAAGCAGAGAGAAAATCAAGAAAAATGGACAAAAGTAGGGAGTAGGAAACAACTTTAATGTTGCTCCTTGAAGACTATTTTTTAAAATCAAATGCTTCATTTACTATCTAGAAATTTTTCTTATTTTTGACAAGATTTTTAATGTAGATTCAGAGCAGATGAAATTGTAAACAGTTCTTCTAGGATATTTTTGTAACAAGCTTTGAATAGCATACCTCCTCTGAGAACAACTTTTATCTTGTTCTATCCCTTTTTTGGGGGGGGGGTGTGTGTGTATATATATGTATGTATATAATTACTATCCTTTTCTCAAAGGGCTTGTGTTCTCTTACTTTCAAGGTGTTCTAGTTACCTTGGACATAAGGGAGGGAATGTAATTGCCATGAAATCCTTTTTCTTGCAAATTTTGGAAAAGTTTTATCTATGAATAGTATGTAATGAGAGATAGTGAGCTAACAGTGTCATTCAGAGTTGTCTTGATGTGTGTATCTGATTTTTTTTTTTTTTTTAACTATCATCATGTACAATTTCTGGGATAATTATGAAGAAACAGGCATTTAGAGAAGAAATAAGTAAACAGGTGTAAATCCAGCAAAACAGCTCATCCAGTCTTTACTAGAGCTAGGCACCTTCTTGAGGTTATAAACATGCTTTCCAGTGTTTCTGTATTAGAATCTTATTTCACAGAAACTGTGAAAATGAAATGAGAATAACTGCTGGCAGAAGTGCAGGGATGTAACATTTTTTATTATTTTTGCTTTCAGAAATTTTGAAAATTTTAAAAAAAGTGTGGTCATTCGTTGCGGGGGTGAAATGAGTCATAACTTTGTAGGTATGCGGTACAGGGAATAATGAAAAACTTCAGACTCTTTTGAGACTGATCTAGCAAAACATGCTTATATACGTGAGTAGTTGTATGACTTCTCTTGTAATTATGAAGGAGGAGTATGTTCACTGATACAGCCATTTATTACAGCATAGTCATCAATTACATCTTTGATTTTTTTTTTTTTTCCCCCTGCCAATGATGCTGTCTTCTAATTATTGTTGTCAGAATACTGTTTAACTCTTTAAGCTCTATTTTTGTGGTTTTGTTTTGTTTTGTCTTTTTTTAAAAAAGAAATCTGCTGCAACAGATGGTTGTTTTGTTTAATCATGTTGTTAGGCCATCTGTTCCCACAGTCATATGGGAGAAGACAGATTTGTCGCATCTCACTCAGTGAGAGTGAGACTCACTCAGTTGGTTTCTGTCTCTCAACCTTACAGACATCTCCCTCACTCATTTACAGCTCTCTAGCAAAATTTAGAGATTGGGTACGTCTGGTGTAGGCTGAAAAGCTAGCTGTAGTGATACACTGCAGCCTGGGGAATGGCATGTAGGTTTTGCACCCTCCCTAGGAAGCTTTTCAAGAGTGTAGCTGTTCATTGCAGCCTATTACCATCATCTTCTCCCCCTGCAACCCAGCCATGTGTCTCACAGGTGTGAGAAAATAATGTTTTCTGGCTGAGGGAAAAGGAACTGAAGGTATCTGCAAAGTGTAGTAGGTGCGTATAGCCACACCGGAGTGGCGGAGGATCATGCTATTATTTGAAAAGGCATACAGACCCCACTTCTGTCCTTCGCTGTTTCCTCAGATTTTTTGTAAAAGTTATTTTCCAGAAAATTTACCATAGAGCTGGAGTTGTTGCCCCAGTTAAAATGGCTTCTCTGACCAAACTGAGTTTTGGACATTTACTGAATTTGTAAGATGAAATCTGACTAAAATACAATCCTTCAGCATACCCACAGTGTCTGTAAAATGAATCATAAATATTTGAGATGAGACTTCATTAACTGGAAACTGCAGCAATGAATATACAAAATCTCATCTTGACAAATTTGCTGCAGATCGTTTTTCTTCATAAAATTATACTGTCTGTAATATCGCCTGTCTTAAACAAATGGTTGGAAGGAAAAAGTGGAGAAAAAGCAGTGATACAGTTTAGGACTTAATCTCCACAACTTCTGCAAATACTTTCTTTTAAAATAATTATTTTAAAATAAATTACTTTGATAAATCCTGTACCATTTTCTTTGTTTAAATGGGCCTATTTGTTTTAATTGTATGTGGCAGGGAGCTTCCTGAGGAAGCAATAAATAGGCAACCACACACTTCTGTCAAGTGAAGTGAGAATATTCGGAAGCTGTAGGGCCAAATTTTAGGGTTTTGATGGAGCTATGAGTGCAGCAGTAACAAAAGGTCCTTCCAGATGTGTAGCTAGCAGTAATAGTGTTTTGAAAACAGTAATAATAAAAAAAATTTAAAAATTCTTGTCTCCTATCATTTCTATTTTTTCATTTATGACATTCTGGTAATCCTAAGGGTGAGGAAATTAATGAAAGAAACCTTAGGTGACACACATTTTCCACAGCTTTAGTGGCCACTTGTGACCATCAGCTTTCTTTTGGCTGTAGCTTCCGTGGTGTCAGAAAGGAAGGTAAATTGCCTGAGGGACTTAAACACTATGGTTCCTGTTCTGTCATAGAGGGGGGCTATAGGGGGTCCCAGCTTCTCTCCAAGTTGATGAACATAGATACTGAAATGACAGAGGTTGCATTCCCCTTCTGCGTCCCTACTGCAGGAGAGTAAGGATATTTTTGACCAGCTGTCTTCTGTTCTAGTTTACTCCTAGGATAGGAGGAGGCTTTAAAGAAAATTGGCTTAAACCAAACTGTTGGGGTTTGTTTAACTACTACAGTTCTTTTATCCCCAATTCAAAACCTGAGTTAAATTTGTGTTTTGTAGCTAAATAGCAAAGATCATATTCTAGAAAAAAGGTTTTCATAAATCAGATTAGTTGAATGACATTTTTTACAATTTTTTAATACAAAACATGACCCGTAGGTGACTACTACTGTTTTCTTTCATTGCGGCAGCTGCAATTTATAGAAAAGAGGAATGTTGGCTAGGAATATTGTCTATTGCAGAGCTGATGGCTTGTTAGAAAAGAACCTTTTTCCCAATACAAAATGCCACAAAATTGAGGACATTTAGGCATGTTGCCATGCACATTTTCGTATGGAAGAGTGAAAGCTGCAGTAGGGCTGCATATTTTATTGGAGAACACCTTTATTTAATTGGGGGTAGAACTGACATTACATTGGTTTTACAGCTGTTGAACTGTGGGGGGCTTAGTTTATTAAAGATCTCTAAAGAAATATAACTATCTCTTCCAGTAATTTGCTAGGTATTTAAAGGAATAATTTAATTATTATTGGCTGATTTGCCTTTTTTTCCCCCCCC